TGAGCTTAGATTTTTTAGCCTCCAGAATGGTGAGAAAATAAATTTCTGTTATTGAAACCGTACAGTCTAATGTATTTTGTTATGTGAGCCCAAGCTGCCTTAGAGTGAGAAAGAAAGCTAAATGCCATAGATTAATTAGATATAATGAAAACAGCTGCCAAACTGGGCTGACGCATTGGCTTACTCCAATTAAGTGTTCAATACAAACTAATTAAATTAGCAGTTCCCAGGTGTTGGTTTTATAGACAATATAAATTATGCATTGAGGTAGGAAGCACTGTCCACAGGAAGGGCTCGTTTTGGTGGTTCTTGTTTTATGTGTGACATTTGGTTCTGGCTTTACTATAATACCTCGTGTCAGATGTATTGTAGAGTAGTGGCATAATTGAACAATTGCATGTGGATGCTGAATATTTAAAGAGCTTTGTATTTTTTATTTTTGCTTTTTCTTTGAAACTCATCTTTTACTAACAAAGAGCACATCCCACAGACATTCTCAGATCTTTCTGGCTTGGTATCAGGGAAAGCTGGAAAACAAAAGCTTTATAACTATTAAGATGTGTTATTAATGCTTGCTGCTGTGGAATGTTGATGATAAATAGGAACTGATAGAATACACTGCAATTTCTCACTCAATTTTCATGATTGAAGAAGGGGATAGATTTTCCAGCAGAGTGAAAACACTTGTCTTAGATTCTGTTTTTCTTGCCAATGCAGGGTCGCAGCTCCATTGTCTCTTACTAGGGGCAGCAAGATGCCTTTATTTGGACTGCCATTCAGCTGTCATTTCTAAAGGACAGATGGTGCTGGACTTGTTCTTGAGTCGTCATTGATTTTTTCCTACAACATTTTATCTGATTCTCTTAATAAAGTTGATGGTTTATAAGATTCAGCCCATAAACCAACAATAATTGAGAAACTTCTTTGTGTGCCAAGGGCCCATTAGGGCTTGACCTGGGGCCAATTTAGGAGCAGGCTGTGAAGCATCATGAAATCTGTTCTGATCACAGAATATCTACAGTCTCCCTGGGAAACTAGGACATATGCACACACACACACAGCAGTCACATGCATGACTACCCATCATCCTGTGCAAAACAGGTGGTTCCTTCTGAGTGGAGCCATTTCTAGCTGCAGAGGTGTACAATGTCCTGGAGAAGTGTCCAGAACATTCCAACATCTTCACTGTGAAACTCAAGTTGTGTTGACCCTTCAGTGTAGGTACAAGGAATACTTTATAGCACAACCATATACACATACAGACAAAGTGTGATGGAAAAATGCAGTGGTTTAAATTTTAAAAATATATTATATTAAAAGACACATTTCCATGACTCCCCATCAAAACACTCTCCTTTGTTTCAAACACACATATTATTCTTGCCAGTTTCTGAAGCCATTCAGGAAGTCTTCTTTTGTGAATATTTTTAGTTGTGCTTTCATGGCGGACTCTATGTTCTTAATTGATTTAAAACATTTACTTTCATGGTCATTTTGACTTTGAGGAAGAGCCAGAAGTTGCACAGAACCAGACCCAGTGAATAAAGTGGATAAAGACAAACCATAACAATTTTTATTTCTTGCCTTTTCTTCAAACACCTTCACAGATATATAATCAGGAAAGAATATTTAACCAAATATTTTGGTACTCTGTGGTCCAGGCAATACACACATATAAAATTAACCACTACACATGTATAGCCTGGAAACTACTGCTTTGGAGGCTTGGCTTGAGACCCTGCAGCTATTCTTTATATGTTCTGCTCCTTACTCCATAGATACCTGTAAAAGTTGCTCATCAAATCTTCATCCTGGCAGTGGAATAGCTGGGGCACTTTTTGGTGTTTGCTTAGTACAGGTGACCCTATAGCAGTTTTAGAATTTAACTTCTATCCCTTCCTGGCCTCACCTCCAGCTACTAATGTGGTAGCAACTGTTTGTGTAGAGGATTCAAGTACAGAAAAACAATGGGACACTTTGCTAAACTGTCCATATCACTTAGAGTATTATAGCTTTTTGATCAGGTTCAGTTTTTATTCAGAAGAAAGTAGAAGCGATTGCATAGAGTTGTGTTTGGGATAGTGGAGGATTTTAATAACATTTTTGTATCCTTGAGGGAATTTTTTTCTTTCTCATAGAAGATTAAAGTGATTATTATTAGAGTCACTGGAATATTAATATATGTTCAGGAAACTTCTTTCTGGACAAATTTACCTGACAGTAGCTCCTCCTTAGGCTATCATCAGGTACTTTGCTGGAATAATGTTTCATTAAATGTTATCATTTGTTCATTCACTCGAACATTTACAAAGGATCTTTCATATTCCAGGCTTCTGGATTCCTCTAGGTCTAGGGCATCTAGGTGTCTATAGTTTTTGGGAAGAGGCAAAATTTTAAAAGGATTCCACAGAAATGCTACAGAGAATTTTATGGAGGGTGCTGTATAGGGCCACAGAAGATGCCTCCAGTGTCTGGGGATATAGCTTAGCACGCACAGCAAGTACAAGGTCCTCAATTCAATTCAGGGGGAAATAAAGCAACCTCTTGTGAATAAAGGATCTTTCTTTGTTTTGTTTGTTTCTTCCTTCTTTCAGGAGATGGTGGTTCTAGGAAAGTGCTAAGCAAATAGGTTTGTATTAGTATTTTGTTACTGTGACCAAGTAGCTGAGAAAAACAACTTAGACAAGGAAATATATATTTGGCTCATAGTTTTAGTCCATGATCAGCTGGTACCTTGTTCTTAGTGCTGTGGTGAGGCAGAAATATTATGGCAGAGGCTGTGTTGTAGGAAAGCTATTTAACTCATGGCAATCAGAAAACAGAAAGAGAGGAAAGGGGAAAGAGGATAGACAGTCCTTAAGGAATTGCCCTATGGCCCACTCCCTTGAACTAAGCCCTACTTCTTCAGTTTCCATTACTTACCAATACGTCATCAGATTATGATCTCATTAGTGGAATAATTTACTTGATTAGAATCCTTGAGATTCAATCACTTTTTGAAGGCCACACTTCTGAACATATGACACATTTGGGGACATTTTAAATCTAAACTATAACAAGATTTTTTTTTTTCTGCAGGGAGAAAACAGGATGAGTGTAATGTCAGTTATTAAAGTGCCCAGTGAACAAAGGTGCAGGAAGCTTAGTGGACAGTTCCAGACCCTGCACAGATGGGTGTCCCAGCTCAGCGGAGGAATTCACTGCTCTTTTGCCTTTTGCCGTATCAGGGCCATTAATGAATTGGGTGATGCCTACCCTCAGGTCTGAAAGTGGAAAGTGGTTTTCTTTATCCAATCTACCACTTCCAGTGGAAATACCTTCACAGATACACCCAGAAATAATGTTTTATCATTTTATATTTTTGTAAATATATTATAATAATTAAATAATGTATAACATTATAATACATACAATTAATATAATTAAAATAATATAGTATATGATCCATAATTAATACATTTCTAAAATTATAATCTCAATGGCACAATATAATTGAAATATACAATATTATGTAATATTACATTATAATTTAATATAATGTTGAATATTATATTGCTTTATTATATTAAATACTTAATGTTAAATATTATATTAATATATTTTTATATATTATATTACATTTCATATTTTAGAACATTTTTAGTTTGTATTTTAGGACATAATACTGACACATAAAATTAAGCATCACCTGTGCTATGGATTATTAGAAAAGTAATATATAGAAGGAAAATAATATGATTAAAGCTCATAGTTTGGAAAAATTAGCCCCTTATTTACTCTGCAAACAGTGTACTTATAAGGAATTTACCTGTTATACTACCTCACATTCTCATTTACAAACACTTTTAGAGTGAGAAAAGGAGTTGTGGTGTGTGGATCACAAACCTAAGTGTGTACTCGAATCACCAGAGGACTTATTAAGACACAGGTGCCGGTAACAGCCCACAGAGATTCTGGGTCAGTAGTTCTGGGCGGTTCTATCAGAATATGCCTTCTTAACACATTCCAGGTGAGGCTGCTGCCTCTGCAGGGGGCACATTCTGCTTGTTTAATGCCATGGTAGGAAGAGTAATGGTCCTTAAAGGTGTTTATGTTTTGTTCCTGGGAACCTGTGGATTTGTCATTCTAGAGGTTAAAAGGGAATTAGTGTTTCAGATAGAATTAAGTTATAAGTATTTTGTATAATTAATTAGTAACAGTAAGTTAAGGTCTTAAAGAGATGGAAAGAGAATATCCTAGATTTTTCTAGAGGGATCAATGTAATTACAAAGTCCTTAAAATTGTACAGTTTGTAAATGAGGTGGGAGAAGAGACTTAGGAGGTGATGTAACCACTGAGAAAATGTAACATTGTTGGCTTCGAAGACAGAGGAATGGAGCCAGGATCTCAGAATGTAGGCAGCCTCTCGAGGTTTAATACGATGGAAAATGGATTCTTAAATTAGTAAGTTTTAGTAAAAATTTCCATCCTTGTACACAGTGGAGAGTTGTGCATGGATGAGTGCATGTGTATGTGTTTGTATTTGTGTAGGAGTCTTTTTATATGGGTAAGATACAAATACAAAAATAACACAGAGGTATTCAGCAATCTATATCTCCTCTGACTAGGCTAAGTCTTATAACAAAGATATTCCTTGCTGCTGTTTTTAAAAGAAAACTATAACCTCCTTTACTCTGAACAAGCTGCAAAATCTAGCATCTTATTTTCTATCTTTGCTTAGTAACTTCTAGAGATATACAGTATCTGTTAATATATGCTAATATATTTGCATCCGTTTATCTATATGCATGTGATGCATGACTATCATATGAAGTTTACATGTATGCATAGTGGAAATAGTCTCGTCATGGAAACATAATACACACAAAAACACAGAAACATGCACATGAATTGTGTTTTATCTGGTTCAGCCTCCATAGCCAAATGGGGTTGTTCGGTTTGAGCTTCAGGTATTTGAGACAATCTGCTCTCAGAATCTTTGCAGCTGATTTAGAATGCAAGCTGTCCAAACCTTCGCATTCTCATGCATTTAAAACAGAGCTGTAGTTTGAAATTTCTTCCATAGACCGACCTCTAGTGTTTCCGACTGACAAGCACAGGAAGAAAGAGGCAAGGTAAGGCATTAGCTGGGGAGAGAAGCATTCTCAATCCCTTTGCACCGACATTTTGTAAGCTTATAGGCTAATTAATCAATTTCATTAAAAAAGAGAGAATGTTGCCATGGTATCATGAGGTGTGTGTACGCTGCCAGGTGAGAATTTCAAGATATTTTTATATCTTTAAATAAATTCTATTTTTTTTCTTTGAATTGGCAAAGGCCTTAAAATTTCTCTGTTTTTAAAATGTGACTTGATGCAGTGTTTTCTGAGATTGAAGTACTAATTGAAATAGAGCTGCCTCTCTTCTTTGAGAAGAAATAAGATCACCTTAGGGGCTCTGTTTCAGTGCAAGATTTGATTAAAAGATCCATGGAGTTCATTTACCAGCCTGTCTTCAATGAAAGCACTCATACAAGAAGCTACTTATTTATTGCCAGGGACATGACCCAGAAGGAATTTTATCTATAATGTATGTAACATATGATTGGAAAGATTCAAAGTATTTCCAGGAATATATTTGAGTCTAGCATTTTCTTTCTCCACTGTAGCACAGAAATGTGTAGTGATGATGATAAAATAGGTGACATTTTGCTCTTGATGATAGTTTTCTGAAAGTATCAAGGGAATTTGATATACCCAATTTCATTAAAAGAACTTGTTAATTACTTGAAGTAAAGAGTCCTTTCCCAAAGATGTCTTCTGACTCCTACTCATTAAAAATGTGGAAACAGGATGCAGTGTAGCTTTTGAATTAGATCAGAATGAAATCTTACTTTTTAAAGTAGACCAGGGATAACAATAATACAGCTAGCCAGCCAGAACACCCTCCTGCATCTTATGAAGCATGTGAAAATATGTGCAGAATACTTCCTTCTCTTTTCTCTGCCTTTTTTTTTTATTTACTACAAAGTATTTTTGCTAGGAGGATTAGGAATCTTATTTAAAAAGGAAAAAATGAATACATGAACTCCATAAATGTGCATCTGCTTTTCATAAGGGGCACTGTGCCCTCCTCTGGGTATCATTTAAGCGTTGTTATTAATGTTCAACCTGTGGCTTAAATCACAGTGTTCATTTATAAGATATCCCCACCAGAAGGGTACACATTAGTGAAGACACCTCAGGCTTTTATCTGGCTCAGCACTGTTAAGTGATACTCCTGGATAAGCTCATATTTTCAAGGATAAAGGTGATATCCCAGCAATATAATCTACAAAGAACACCTCAGAAATGGAGTGCTTTTCAGTGCAAGAACCTTTTAGATCACCAACAGGAATTTTAATTTCCATTTTCAAACTGGCTATGTGGTTGCCTTGTGACTGACTCTGGCCACTCAACCTCTTGATACCTCTGTCCTCTTAGGTTGCACATGAGAACAGCAATCAGCACTGCTTGGCAGTGTGACCGCAGACAACCAGCCCAGCTGAGTGAAAATCCAGCTCTGCAGAATAAAATAGTTCTGTTTTCAGCTGTCTCCTGTAGTTAAAAAAAAAATCACACAGTGCTTATCTTGGAATGCTGTTGAGTTTGACTGCTGTGACACTAGCTTTTGACTTAGAATGAAAATACTGTAAACTGTACTTTTGGCTAGAATGATTGATACAGGTAAACTCTGCATTGTACAGTACTGTGCTTTGTCACAAAATGTGTGACCTTCAACTGCAGTTGCACAAAGCTGCAACTGTACAATGTAATCTCTAGGTCTTCTGCAACCTAAAGCATTCATCCAACTAGTTCTGAGGTCCCTTAAGCAGTAGTGGTTCAGCTAAGGACTGGAGACACTACTAAAATAATCCATTGTCCTCATGTTCAGGATTAAAAAACTTAAGAGTATATTGGGTGGAAGGACATAGAGAAGAGAAGAGTTTAAGTACACTGTTCATATATTTGGCTACTTTTTTTTTCTTTTTTAGATGTAGTCTCTCTGTGTATCACAGGTCGGCTCTGAACTTGCAATCCAACTCTTTCAATAGAGGGCCTATTTTAACTTAGGTTTGGAATATAGGTTTACTGCAATCTTTTGTAATATGCAATCAATACAATCAATAGTTCTTTTGGCAAATGAGTTTCTTCTACCTAATATAGTCCATTTATACTGCTACAAAAAAAAAAACTGAGTATTTTACAGACTATTCAGAAGTTTACTTTTATAGTTACAGAGGCTGAGAAGTCCAAAATCTTGGGCCAGCAGTTACAATGACCTGTGAGGGTCTGCTTCCTGGTTCATAGATGATCTCATCTTTATGTGCTTAGTAGTAGGAAGAGAGAGGAGTACCTGCAGAGTTTCTTTTCTATGGACACTAATGTCATTCATAAAGGCTCCATCTTTAGGGTCTAATTACCTTTCAATGACACTTTCCTCATCTCCAAATACTATGACATTCGGGATTAGGTTTCAGTATGCAAATTTTAAGAGCAGGGAGCAAATTCAGTCTAGTAGTTCTTTTTCCAGTTACTTGAATAATACACCATAATGATATTCAGATATAGCTGGGACATACATTCTCTGGATAAGGAAACATCTCTGCTGTGTTCTAAAAGGCAGGTCTGTGTTGGTGATGGAGAGTTTGGGGCTTCAGAGAAATGAGTACAGTGGGTCGATGGCAGGAGACAATTTGGCATCTCTGTGGCTGTTTTATAGGCTCTGTGTTCAGCTTATACATAATGTAAACATTACATAGGGTTGAGAACAGTCTGTTTATTGATGCACACAGGCAGAGACTTTCCCTAGGGTATGTAGAATGCACGTGACATGTGGAATGCTGAGTTTGCATGAGCCTGCTGAAAGATACAGAACATCATATCTGCCAGAATGAACCTCTACTTACTATAAACCAGAAGGAACCAAGAGCACACTTTACTCTGGAAATTAGGAGGCCTGGTGGACATTCATGAAGTCAGCTGGCTGCTGGCTCTGAAGGCAGGTATAACTGTGTCTAAGCATCTTTCGACAGAGTTCATACACACTCATCTTTTCCATTTCCCATTATCAGATCTATATCTGTTAAACATAGTTACAGAACCCCAGTTCCATGGCTCACTTTCAAAGCAGTTAGGAGTCTTGACTTGAAATTGCACTAATTCACCCATAAATGCAGTAGGTCAATGTTTCCTTATTTTGGAAGAAGATGTATCTGAGACTGGTATAATCTCAGGCAGAAAAGACAGTTCACTTTCATTTTCATAATTCTACTCAGAAAAGTGGTGACTTTTTTCTTTGACAATTACATTTTACTTTCTCATAAAGAAAATGAAGCTAAATTTGCATGTTGTCATGTCTTACCTTGCTATTTTGTATATACTGTCCTGGGCCTTGTGCCAGGAGTCAAGACATTGGTCTTTGGTTGGGAGTCTGTGTTTCTGGGTGCAGAGTCTTACAGTGGGATGTTCATGGGGTAAGGGATCAGGGTTTCCAGCGGACCAGGCAGTCTCTCCCTGGGAGAATCAGAAAAACAAACAGACAGTCCTGGCAGGCTGGGGACAGGCACTGGGCCTACTTTCAGCCCAATGAGAGTTGTTTAAATGGTTGTCACTGAACCTCCATGCCTCAGTGGTCTTCACTTCTCACTGAAATCAATTCATTGATTTCTGCCTCATCTTCCTTATAAGTTCCAATGGGGTAGTGATTTAAAATACAGTAAAATAAAAAGCCTGGAAAAATCTCGGTGGGAATTAGCATATATACCTCATACCTCAGGCATTATGGCTGTCCTTTCTGATTACAGATACAAATACAAAAATACCACAGGATGGATGGCTAATAAATAGTAGAAATTTATTACTCACAATTCTGGAGATCAAGTGCCCATAACTTCAGTGTCTAATGAAGATCTACTGCTTTAGGTAGCTGCCTCCCTATGTAACATATACGAGGGAAGGGATGAAAGAACTCTCTGGGATTTTTGTTGTATAAAGGCTCCAAACTCATTCATGAATGCTTTTCTCTTATTACCTAATCATTTCCACAAAGCCTACCTCCTAATGAGATCATCTTGGTGATTAGAGTTTCCATATATGAATTTTGAAGGGAAAAAATATTTAGACCATAGCAGTTATATTAGATTAAAGCTTCAAAGACCATTATTATTTAAGTAACTTACCAATTATTTTTATAGATAATTGATTATAAAAATATCAGAACTTTATAAAGCATTTAGAAATTATTGCCTTTTGGTAACATTTTGAAATCCATTACACTTTTTATGGCCATTAAAACTCAGGGGATGCTGAGAATGGTGGCCTGAGGAATTCTGCTTTTTAAAATTGAGGGCCATATAGTAAATATTTTTATGATCTGTGGAGAATAAATTTGCCATCATCCTCACTCAGCCATACTGTTGTACTATGAAAGTAGCCATACAAAATTTGTTACCTAAGGGAAGGATATCTTCCAATAAAATTTTATTGACACAAACAGGAATTGAGCTGAACTTGTCTCATAAAATAACATAGTTTGCCACCTCCAGCCTCAGCCTAGTTTCCAGGGTGTGGGGAATGTACCCAAAAGAAAATGAATTGGAATATTCAGTTGTGTGACTGTAAACACGGGACAGTGAACTGATTGTGTTTGACCAAGTTTGCAGTTTTTGCATGTAATATAAATGGTTTAGTAGATGCAGGTCAGGTAATCTATGGTATTTTAAGGGAGTGATTATCTAGACCCTCAGCTGGGTAAACAAAAGAATAGGAATATAAGTGGAATGAAGGCGAAAACATGGTTGGAATCAATGGTTTGTTGAAGTCAAGAAATCTTGAAATGGGAATAGTTGTTTGAATATGGCAGCAGAATGAATGATGGTCATCACAAGTGGCATGCTTGAACTTTCTGGATGAGGTTCAGGTATAGTCAGTGAGTTGGAGGTAGAAGTGAGATGGAGAGAAAATCTAACTAGAGGCAAAAAGGATAAATAACAAAGGAGCCAGAATGCTGAGTGGCTCACTCAGGTGGATCCTGAAATCACTAAGGATGTTGAATAGAGTAGTAATAGAGAAAAGAAAAGGGAAATTATTTTCAA